AAAATATAATAAAATAAATCATTTGTTGTTCGTCGTGAATGTATTTATTTAAAACAAAACCGGACCGATTAGTTACTTTCGATATTAAAAAAAAAATTGCGAAAATCACTAATTTTTCGGAGGTTCACACTGAGATGATCCCTTAAGGAGCGAGCCTGCTTTAGAGGCTTCAAAAAATCGATTTTGAGGATTTTTTGCGGAGAGAAAGGAACAGGTGATTAAAGCGAAATTTCTAGCGTCATATATTTAAACATAATTCACAAATTTTTTGTAAACGAAATATTTGATATTCTGCCTTTGGGAAACAATTGCCCGATGGATCTGACAGGATGCAGGACGCAATATCAATCGGAAACAAAAAGTTCAAAGAGATTCATATTTTTTAATATTTCTTTATCTTCTAGTTAAACTTAAAATATTACAAAAAAAGTGTAAAATTTTAGAAATTTTTTAAAAATTGAAAAAAGTGGTTTTTGATCAAAAAAATTTTACTTTATGTTGTTTAAAAATTTGTTCAAACTTGACTTTTCTTAGTTCTTTTTCAGTTTAATTATAAGATAATTTAATGCCAAAGATAATAAACTTTGCCCCAATTCCATAAGACGTTTACATAGTTTGTTTTCTATCCTGCCTGCCAATTAAGGAAAATSGTAAAAATGAAAAATCGAGAAATCGCGCGTCAAAGTTTTCGCTTTCTGCTCAATGGTTAAAATATCTGCTAGCCGCTCGGTCATTATTTCCCTTCTAGCTTCGAAAATAATTCGAATTCCCATCTATAACTTTGGGGACACCTTCTTAGATAATTTTTAAAGAGATTTGAGCAACATAAAAATCGTTTTTTTTTTTGAAGCTTCTAAAGCAGGCGTTGTGTTTCGGGAAAAACGCGTTTAAAGGCCACGAGCGCACAATTTCTCTAGGCTGTATTTCCGAAACTATKACGTGGATCAACTTGAAAATTTAGCAAAATATTTTAGTGTATTCTGTGTAAAATTCAATAAGATAATAAAAAAAAATCGATTTTTTTAACCGTAAACCGATATAACGGCTTAAATAACTGTAGTCGTGATGACTGCARCGAACTTCGGTTGGAACTGGATCAAAGCAAACAGACATTTCTTTCAAAATTATTATTATTATTTTATAATTTCTGTAAAGTCACCTCGAAATCTTTTTGATATTATGTTCTTATTTTTATAAAAGTAAATGATTTACTATCAAAATCTTTAAAAATGAATTTTTTTTAAGTTCATATGGTTGAAGCCAGTTGAAGCATGAATATAAGGGGCGGTCACTTAAGTACTTTAGCATCCAATATATCTTCGTTATTTTGATTTCACCACTTACACTCATGCATACATATGCTTGCGCTTGCCCACTATGCATTGTTTTTGTAGTGTTTTAGACACTAAAAGTGATTTGGACATGGAGTCATTTTACGATTTGCTGACAAAAACTATAAATTGGCACACATCAAATGGACAACGTTTGACGAAGTGAGTGCACTCACACATAATCACGCAACCACCTGTGTATGTGTGCCGSCATGCATGTAATTGCATTTAGTATGTGTGTCGCCGTAAAAAATCGCAATCGTTTGGCACACCTAAAAATTATAATAAAAATGAAAAGTGCGCTCAACAGCGCGTTATACATGTACACATACATATAAATATGCATATATGTACAGGTACTTGTATGTGTGTACGTTTATTTAAAAGCTGCAGCACGAAAAGGAGCAACAAGCAAGTTGCAGCGGCGACGGTATCGTCGAAGCGACAGTGTGACAGACGAAACTCAGCAGACTAGAAAACTAGCAAATCTCCAAGTGTCCACATACCAGCGGAGTTGGAGACAACGGATCACTGAAAAGCATTATAAAGCAACAAAAACAAACACACAGCAAAAGGGAGACAATCAAAAGCGACTATGGTGGCGCTGAAGCAGGAGCAATTGGCTTACAGTAAAGTTCGAACACTGRCGCTGGTGTTGGTGGCAACAATAGCAATAACAACAGCACATTCAACAACTAAATCAAATGGAAAKCAAGTGTTTGCTGGCAACACTATGAAGTGCGCGATGAGCAAACGAAAAAAAGGCGAAATGAAAATCACAAAGGCACGTTTAAATTTGGACGGAACTGAACTAAATATGGGTTGTTTATTTTAAGAGCTGACTTCACGCTCYTAGAGTTTGTACCCTGAACACGGTTTGAAATGTAGTTTATAATASTCGGAAACAAAAGTAAATTTATATACCTAAAAGTATATACTATATAGTATAGTAAATAGCCTGACTAGCTGATTCGATGTAGCATTGACCGTCTATTTASATGATCAAGGCCCTCACTTTTTGAGATATCGATCTGAATAAATCAATCTTCTTCCCAAAAAGCTGTT